CCCCATTAATCTTTATAGTGTGATTAATTGTCTCTCTTTGTAAGCCAAAGATAATAGTCTCCTCCTTGTATCTGAGAGTTCATATTCCACCCTTCACTGAAACACAGATGTAAACTATAGCCTGCCAGTCTTACTGAACAGAAATAAACTGGGTTGGGTTGGTCCTGAGTTTCCTCTAAATCATAATTCTGAGTTCATGTACAGGCATGTAACATAAAGGACTAGTGATTCATTCAAAAGCAGGAAGAAGATTTTCCATTTTTGTAATAGCTCTAGAATTCTTCATCTTGGCTGTGTTCTTCGCAGTAATCTGAAGTGTTACAAAAATGAACAGTGCTAAACTGTTTCACTTTTGTGTCTGACAGCTGGATGGTGCTGTTGCACAACAGAGACCATATGAAAACAAAACCGCGGCACTCCTGGAGCGGGTCCTTTTTTAGGTAGGTTTTTTAGCTTCCTTGTACAGAGGTTGCAGAAGTCATGTGGGAGAAAAGCTTGGCACTGTCCTGGCACCATAAATGAAAGAGGAGGACAAGAATCTAAAAACCACAGGGCTGGGAAGCTTTGTGTTTTTGATGCATGCAGCCTTGTATTAAGGTTCAGAGCAATATTTGTTGTGGTCATCTGACAGAAGTGGCTGAGCACTGAGGCATTAGCAACCACAGGATCTCGGCCAGGCCTAGGTGCGTATTTGGCCCCACATCCATTCATTTTCCTCTCTTCCCATTGCTCTGTGAGGTGAGGTCGCTGTGTTTGGCCTTGGATACTTCATGCTGCCAGGACTGGATGAGTCTGTGCTCTCAAACATGTTGGACATCGAAATTCAGCAGCTGAGGCTCCTCTCAAAAGCAGGAAGTTGTCTGGGTAGCAGCCCAAGCCTTGTTTCTTCTGTTTCATGAACTTCTCCAAAGAAAGCTTTTGAACTCCTGCTTTAGGACACTGACTCATGCATATGATCAAGCAGGGAATATCTATATAGGAAGGTTTCAGTCATCCTTCCTCAGAATGGATGGGATGAACGTAGAGCATGAATTGTAATTCTGCTCTCATGCCTCTGGAGGCTACCCCTCACCCAGGCTGAAAGTATCTGCATGTTTCAAAGTTCCAAAGCAGCTATGGAAAAAGTAACCAGTGTGTTAAAGTTTGCGGAGTTTGGTGTTTTGGCACCATCCTTCTACAATATTGCAGGCTTTTTAAGAACTTGGTGACTGGTGGAAACACTGTTATAAGCATTGTAACTGAAGAACAGAACCAGGAGACTGTATTGGGGAAGGAAAAACCACCTGTGTGATGGAAGATGTAGCAATGCACTGCATTTATACCCACTAGATGCAGTAGGACATTAAAATAGATCATAGTATGATTTCAGGTGTATGCTGTACATAACACTCAGGTGTTGACTAAGTAATCTTGCCCTTCTTAGGGTTTTGGCTTCATGCCTCCTTCCTCCAAATCCTTTTTTGAGGGTCTTCAAGTTTAACACTTTCCACACAATGATCCCTCGATCACACATGGTTACTTCCCTTCTGATGCTGCAGCTGCTAAGCTGAATCAAGGTAACACAACCCTGTTGCAACTGCCTGCCTCTCCTTTAGCATCACTTTCAATAATTTCAGCCTCTTGTTTTCCTCAAGCTGATGCTGCTTCCTGCGGACAATGTTCTATTTTTTTTTAAACTACAATAATGTCTTGTCCTAATTTCTGTATTACTTTCTTCCTTTTATCAAGTATGTTGCTTTCTAACTGGACCTGTAACTTCATGATCTCCATATGTGCATGAGGTTCAAAGTTCATTTTGAAGCTTCCTTTCTTCACAGCTTTTCTCCAATTGTCTTTTGCTCAGTTGTCTTCACAAGCCATTTCATATCAGCTCTGGATGGAATATCTTCCCTGCTCATACAGGTGTTAGTAAATTGATTTTTGCTTTTACAAGTCCATCTAAAACTTGTTTCTTACAAAACTTTTCCCACCGCTTTTGTAGCTACTTTCCTAGAAAAGGCCCTTCTAGCAGTGAACACAGTGTCTGTGCATCAGTATAAAATATGAAGTTGTTGGCTAGTGAAAGCGTATCTCAATGCATTTTAAAGTTCTAGTAGCCCCTTCTCAAACTTTCCAGTCCCATTTGTCATACTGTGGTGCCTTGTGTCTAATGCAGGTCGCCAGCTCCTTGAGCAGCAAGCTGCCGTTTCCCATTAGCTTGTTGAGCACTGTATACAGCTGTGGCATTCAAGTAAAAATAATGCTGAGGTTTGTTATGCTGAGAGCTTCGACAAGTTTTAGTGTTTTTCCGACATTCGAGTGTGGCAGGCAGCCCAATTACTATTAGCAATTCCTTCCCAAATTAATGTCTTCCAAAGATATAAAAAACCATTCAACGAGAAATGTGCTCTCCTAATGCTGTCTGCAGGACTGTTCTTTAATATATATGCATATAAAAATGGATTGCCTAACAAAACAGGAGGCAAGCTGGAGCATCGTGGCTCTTTTAGAATTAGCACAGATATTCCTTTTTAATTTAAAATCTTTATTTTCAAAGTTGAGCATGCACTTTTTCCTCTGGAACACTTAAAAATAATTTTCTATTTTTAGGCTTTATCTGTAACATTTTGCCCTTATTCTAGATTAACTAGTCAGACTGCACTACCTCAGGATCTGGATTTTTTTATGTCAAAGTCAAATTTTAACAGACTGAGACCCCAATTCTGCACTGTTTTAACCTAATTGGAATTATTCCACAACCTTCTTTTTTAAAAGCAAATGTCAGTTATAGAAATATTTTCTATGTGTCGCACTATTCTTATATTTTTTTAAAAAAAAAAAAAAAAGCTCAGTACCCTTGGGCTGCCTCTTTACCTAATTTATTTCGGTAAGCAGCTCTCCATTCTGAATGTTTTCTGATATGAATCTACAACAAAAATGAATGTCTAAATTGTCAGAACTCTGCTGCATTTTTTTAAGCATTTCCATTTTCAAACAGTTTAAAAAGTGTCTTGTCTATTCTTGCTCTTTCATCTTTTTTTCCCTAGGTCTCATCAGTGGATACAATCTATGGTCCAACTCTTGAAGCTGCTATGTAACATTTTGTGTTAATGCAAGACTCAATTTTACCTGGCAAATGTTTTTACTCTTATAATACAACTATAAATATTGCACTCCATTGTTCTTCTTGCTACATTTTTCATTCCACTTCGGTGAAGAGATCTTGCATCTCATACATGCATTTCTGCTCCTAACAATCTGACTACCTCCTGTTTGTTTCATTTCTTTTTATGTACAGTACTCAGTATTTCCAGTTTATACCGTCTCCTATGTACTTTTCTCAATGGTTTTTAAATTCCTATGCTTCATCACTCTATGCTGGCTTTGTTTTGTTGTTTAACATTTTATATGACAGATTCCTGGCACAAAACCTGTCCTTCATGCCAAGGAGTGTCAGGGAGTATCAGTCATTCATTAATCTTCATAAGAGTAATTGCCCTCAGCCACTGCAAAACACCGTGTTTTGCCCTACCTTTCCTGCAGCAGCTGCATGTGTTCTGGTGTGTTATAGGTTGGTGGGTTTAAAATAGAAAGTATCCAATCAACAAACTTTTTTTGAGAGAGCTCTCTTTCAGATGTATTCTTACTAGAAAGAAATTGAAAGAGTTCCTTGACTACTCTTCAGTAGATGCAGTTGAAATATAAGTTTCAGATGACCTCAATCAACAAACTTTTTTTTGAGAGCTCTCTTTCAGATGTGTTCTTGCTAGAAAGAAATTGAAAGATTTCCTTGACTACTCTTCAGTAGACGCAGTTGAAATATAAGTTTCAGATGACCTGATCACATATTTCATAGTTTGAAGCCAAACTTTTTAGCTCTTTGGGTCAAGAATTGGATTTTGGTTTTACATGTGTGCCACAAAATTGAATTACTGTTAATCTCATATCAGGATTCAGCAACAACATTATGTATAAAAATTTTGTAGTAGTAGACACTTATACTTCAGAGTTTGTTCTAATATGGAAAATCTTCTCAAGAAGAATGAGAATGTATGGTGTTTTTTTTTTTTTTTTTTTTTTTTTTTTTTTTTTTTTTTTTAAGGATTTTGTATTGTTTTCACTAAAATAGCCTACTCACATTCTTTATTATACTACATGTGAGTCTCAGGCAAAGTTTCTTGCCCTGAGGCATGTGGACCTTTACACAGTCCTCAGCTATAGCTGCATGTGACTGCTCAAGTGATAAGTCAGCGCAGTTGTATATGAGAATTAGTGGCAAGAGTTGAGTTTGTGGTATTTTCTCAGCTTTTGGGTGCATAATGGAATTGAGTAAGTTTGCTGCATTGGAATATTTTACTAGTACAGTAGTTTCATCAGTGCATAGGGGCTTAAAGGAAGGAATAAAGCTGAAGGGGCAGATCCTGTGTCTTTGATATCCCGCATCATCAGTGTTCAGTACCTTGGCTTTAGGTTTCCACAGCTGGTAGATTTAAAACATCTTTACTGATGATTTAAAATGCTGCATGTTGGTATTCTACTGGACAAGTAGGCAAAAGCAGTTCCTTTAAAATACGAGTTAAAGATTAAGGTTAGTTCACAACTTGGGGTCCAAAACCTGCCTGGATGCCACCCTGTGCCATGTGCTCTAGGTGTCCTTGCTGGAGCAGGGGGTTGGACTAGATGATCTCGAGAGGTCCCTTCCAATCTCAGCCATTCTGTGATTCTGTGAAGGCCTGGGGTTCTCAAGGTGGCAACAGCTAAAACCTGGAAGGAGCCAAAACTGAAGCAGACACTTCATAGTACCTCCAATTTAGGCTTTTTGACACAGTGCTAGTTGTTTTACACTTAGACATAACTGCGTTGCAATTAAGTGCTGCGAGCGCACGTGTATGATGAATAGAAATGCAGTAAAAGGCTCAGTGGTAGATTTTACCTACTCAGGCATTAAGCAATTTTCAAGTTTCTGCCCTTTAAAATTTAATGTTCAAAACCCTGAGATTCAATTATGTTAATAAATACTTTAACACCTCAGCTCTTTTAGGGCTGCTGTGGGACAAGAAGAGTTCACAAAATGCTTTGGTTTTTCTGCAGTGGAGAAAAACTGCCAGCCAGGAGTTGGCAGAGAGCATCAGTATCTCCCTCGGTCTCCTCCGGTTGGCACCGCAGGAGATCTGCTCCCAGCAAGGCCACCGTAAAGCTGGCACGGGGTGTTTGCAAACGGGCAGCCATTGCTCGGGACCGGGAATTCTCATTCCTGGTTGGATTCAAATGGGTGCAGTTCTGCACAGTTTTGTACCGCCTCAGAAGTGCAAGCTGACTGTTTTTGAACATGCTCGTGAGGTGGTTTTCTGCTGACTGACCTCTATAAAACAGTGACAAGCTGACTTTGCTTCTGAATACTCTGATTTTAGAAACAATTTGCCAATTTAAAGCCTCAACTTGTTCATTTATGCTCGTTTGCCTCCTCCCTTAGGTAAAGGATTGCTGTTTGCTTTTGTGGACTGGTTTAATGTGCTAGTCTTCTGATTTATTTCCAGTGCAGCATTTACACCACAGAAACTCAAGAGAAAGAACGTTTTCTTCTGTTCAGTAAGGGATTAATATTTCTGATGAGATGTTTCTGACACAGGAGGCTTGCAGATGTTCCTACACAAGCCTTTGAAAGGACATTCTTACATGTGGTGTTGCAAGAACATGCTCAACAAATTTTAGGTAAGCAAATTGCTTAATTTAATGAGCTACTTTTCATCAAACTAGAGGGAGCCAAATCAAGTGCTTAGCCAAGTAATTTATTTTTATTAGCGCAATATAATTTGGTCCTTACTAAGCTATCTGTTTTACGCGCCCTTTTGGAGAGGGATGAGTGGCGCTGTTGGCACTGAGATTTCCCACCAAAAGAGGGTGGGATGGGAAGGGCACGGCAAGGAGCACAACAGAGTTCGCTGGGATGTTCTTGCTCCAGTCTTTGAAGTGTCAACGGATGCAGAGCTGCATCCCCAATCTGAGGAACCCATGAAGAATCATTTGAAACAACCCTAAGAAATGAGGACTGTTTCATATTAGCACTTCCCTGCTTTCCATTTCACCAGAGATATTCCAGCCCATCTCTGCTTTTGGATTATGCAATGCACAAAAAGAGGAAAGAAATCAAGGGTGCTGCTGCCTGGTCCCGTAGTAATTGCTGAGGTTTCTAACAAGGCAAATCATTAACTGTGCTGAGTTCACTTGCAAAAGCCTTTTATGGGTAACAGATTTTGATGTGCACCAAGGTCTTCTTTCAAAAACCCATATTCAATACATCTTTCAACACTTATAGACAAAAAATAATTTCTCTGTGTCCGCAGAGACCTAGATCCACAAAGTTGGGTGCTTTTTATAGTTAAAATGTAAATTCTCCATAGAAATGATTGCAATGTCAGAAAGGATTTTTTTTTTTTTCCAGAAATTCCCTCCCCGTATCATTTCTGTGCTATAGGATGCTTGTGGGATCCAGAACATGCTGTACATCTTCACGGCAGATCTTTGGACCAGATCTTGCTCATGTTGTGCTTTGGATGTTGTCTGAAAGAGGCAGCAGATCAGGCAGCTCACAGATAACGCTGCCTCCTGCAGTGTTTAACCAAGTGTCCTTAAACTGACTTAATCAACACTGAGATTATAACTTTCCTCCATCCCCACCCCAGCTTCTAGGGACTGCAGAAGCATCAGGTTTCTTTGAGAGATACAAGACAATGACTCAGTTTATATTCCATTTATTTACATTACATGGATTGTTTCATTTGTCCTGCTGTTTCTGGGTATGCAGCACCCTTGGAGTGCATAATGTTTTGGTCTAGGCAGTCAGACAGACCTTATCATATCATGAAGGTAGCTCCTCAGCATGACTTTTCTTAGAGTGAGAGTCTGTAAGCACTTTCTTTCACTGATGATGATCCTACTTTAATATATGGCTTCCACCTTCATCACCCAGCATAGTCAGGCTATTCTGTTTTTGTAATTAGGGTAATCAGTCTTCCTTGAGCTTGTCACAAATTCAGCCACTGAAATATGAGTTCTGTTAGCAAACTGAAATACAAATGAGTTTTACAATGAAATATTAGCATTTGATTGTGAGAGTATCTGTTTGCCAAGTTATTTTTATATTTCTTAATACATGTATTCCTGTATTCATATGACTGTACCATTATTTCCTCATTCCTGAAGCAGAAACAATACTATTTTTCTTCCCAGTCATATGTTTTTTGTTAAAATGGGGCTTTGAATTTGTTCTTGTAAAATTAGAAGCATATTTTCCTTCAATTTGATTATTCCTAGAGTATAGCAACTCTAAAAATAGAAAAAAATACTTCTAAA